ATTGTGGGCTGGTTGACTTGGGCACTGGTGACACATATGAAGTCTTCCAGTCAGCTGGCTTGACTGAAGGAAGCATTGATGATGGAGCAGAGGGGTTTAGCTAACTCTGGGGAGAACTCCTTGAAGAGTTTCATTGATAAGTCAATGTGGGTGGTGGAGCGTTTTAACTTCAGTTTGTCCAGACGTTTTGCTACTTCAAATTCTTCTACCAAGTCAGAAGGGAAAGGGGGCTGGTAGGTAAGCAGGGAGATTGGTTGTGTCAAGTCGGGGGAGCGTCTGGCATACACACTCTTCGACTTATGACCACCCGGACATACGACCGCCCCAGTCGTACCAAAATATTTTCTAATTACATATTTTCGAGTCCCGACGTTAGTGATTGCGCTGTGTACTGACAAAATTTTCGTTTGTAATTCTCTTTAACATGGCTGGCATGCTTAAAAATGAGAGTTTTGTGGTGCTGAGAAGAAAAAGAGACACCCATTTTAGATTTTCTATTTATTATCTTCGCATTTTCAACTTACGACCTGGATTTGGGTCCCTAACCCCGTCGTAAGTCGAGGAGTGGCTGTAGTAGCGAAATGGTTGATTGATTGCTCAGCTGCGTCAACATTAGTGAGATGGCTAAGGAAGGGGAGAGGGTGTGTCTTATTTTTAAGTCTGTAGAGCTCTTTAAGCTTACCATACCACTGACTGATGTTGGTCTCATTCAGGTGATGCAATTTGGTTGGGTAGAGAGACTTTTTTGCAGTGCGTATTTGGCGGATAACTCGCTTGCGAAGGGACCTGTAGCAGTTGTGGTCATTGAGATGAAAGGCTCTGTCTCTCTGTTGCATAAGTCTTTTGATCCGAGGTGTGATTCAGGGCAAGTCAGCTGGGTGAGATCTGACGGACTTCTAGGGGAAGAAGTGGTGGTGAGCTTTCGTGGTGGTGTTGGTACAATTTATCCATTTGGTGTCCACGTCATCCACACTAAGTACTTCAATCATGGGATGGTGAACTATCCACTGCCCGAAGAGATGCACTGCAGAGTCAGTAATCGGCTTGTAGGTCTTGATGTGGGATCTCTGTACAGTGACCCCTCGTTTAACGAACACCTCGGTTAACGTAATTTCGATTAACGAACTGCCTTCCATAAGGATCTTCAATTCGGTTAACGAAAAAAAATTCGGCTAACGAAGTTCTTACGAACCGACCTCAACATGTTTTCGCTTGCACTGACCGGGCAACCAGCTTTAGTATCAGTCCGCCAATACATTAATCGGTTCTAGGGCTTAAATTCCTTACTATTTTAGTAAATATCAAGAAGTTTATACTATTCAATAATTTTAAAAGTTTACTATTCAATTTTTTAGTCATTTTAACAATTATTGAACATAATTGAAGGTAAAGTGACTAGTTTAATGCACGGCATCCAGCCTCTTAACACAGCAAACAGGAGTTAGTCTCTCTCTGTTTTCACTGGAGGTAACATCTTGCTTGAGACTCTCTTCAACTAAAAGCTTTTTTTCTGTGTTTCCAAGCAAATTATTGGTCATTTTGAAATATATTTTACATATTGACAATATATAATGCAGTGCAGTGTTGATTTAAAGAAAATAATCTTGAATTACACCAGAGCTAAAATTTTATGGGTGAAATGGCGCCATGGGGTGACTTCTCTTCCACCCCAATGCCTTCTCTTCTTCCTTCTCCTCCACCCCCATTCTAAATCCCATCATTATCATCATCATCATCCAGGAGCCTTCTACATACACAACTCAAAGTAAGTGAACTTTTCTACCATTTTTGTTGAATTTAGGAAATTTTCGGTGAGCTGGAACCAATTACCCAAAAACCCATTGAAACAATGGTTTCGGTTAACGAACTTTTCGGTTAACGAACGACCTTCTGGAACGGATTGAGTTCGTTAACGGAGGGGTCACTGTACTTGAGTGGCAGCTTGGGACCAGAGCACTGATAGGTGTGCCAAACCCAGGAGAGTTATGCTCCCGGTAATCCATCCACAATGATGCACACAAGAATAATTAACTAGCACATACAGTCAGGATGAGTTATTACAGGGCTTTCGCCAACTTGGACAAAAACACAGCAGTGCATTCACACTCAGTAGCTCAGTGAAACCGCAAATGGGCTCATGCTTTGAAGCAGAGTCCAGGCCATGAACACACACACATACAGAGAGAGAGAGACAGAGACAGACAGACAGACAGACAGAGAGACAGAGAGAGAGAGAGAGAGAGAGAGAGAGAGAGAGAGAGAGAGAGAGAGAGAGAGAGTCGGATGAAGTCGATGAAGGGAATATGCATTGTAGGGGTGTGTGGGTGGTATAGGGGGTGTGTGGGTGGTGTAGGGGATTTGGTGCAGGGGTGCATGGGTGGTCTTGGAGGGTGAAACTATGGACATGTTTCTTTACGCCATTTCCCTGTCTACCCAGCAGCAATTGGGAACCTGGATGTTAACCCGATTTGTAGAATATGATGTGGATTGTAATGGTTAGCCAGTGCAGTTAGCAAGTTGTCCGGTCCTCTCGGACTATTCATTGACACTGGGTCATGCAGTTCGTTAATTTAGGGTGTGGTTGTTGTGTTGGTGGCAGCTTCTACACCTTAAACACTTCCAAACCTAAGTGGCCCTTGGGCCGGCCATCCTCGTTACACAAGGGGCAAGCATTATTATTATTATTATTATAAAAATAATAATAATAATAATTAACGGTTTATTGAAAAAGTTCTGCAGCCCGAAGGCTGAAAATATACATTGGACATTAATGACTTATTACATAAATTGGTGGTTTAACAAAAGTCTTCATTAGAGAAAGGTAAAGGATCACATAGTGAACATACAGATTAATGTTGGTGTTGAACAGCAAACACGTAGTGTAGTAACTCCCTCCCAGATGGTGTTAGGAGGGACCTCACGTGGTGTAGTAATTCTCTCACTGATGGTGTTATGACGGCATCACGTGGTGTAATAATTCCCTCACAGATGGTGTTATGAGGGGCATCACGTGGTGTAGTAATTCCCTCACAGATGATGTTACGAGGGACCTCACGTGGTATAGTAATTCCCTCACAGATGGTGTTATGAGGGGCATGACGTGGTGTAGTAATTCCCTCACAGATGGTGTTATGAGGGGCCTGACGTGGTGTAGTAATTCCCTCACAGATGGTGTTACGAGGGGCCTGACATGGTGTAGTAATTCCTTCACAGATGGTGTTATGAGGGGCCTGACATGGTGTAGTAACTCCCTCACAGATGGTATTATGAGGGGCACCACGTGGAGTACGAATTCACTCACAGATGGTGTTATGAGGGGCCTGGTGTGGTGTAGTAATTCTCCCACAGATGGTGTTATGAGGGACCTCACGTGGAGTACGAATTCCCTCACAGATGGTGTTATGAGGGGCCTTGCGTGGTGTAGTAATTCTCTCACAGATGGTGTTATGAGGGACCTCACGTGGTGTAATAATTCCCTCAGAGATGGTGTTATATGAGTGAGGTTTGGTCCCAGGCCTTCCTATCGTAGACGGATTAACACATCGCTGGTTGTTGTTGAGTCTCACAGGCAGTTATCACTGGGTACCTGGGACCTCACTGTGTGAAGATTAACTTGGGTATGACTCGGATGTTACTGTGAGTTGCTCTCACTGACTTAAGCACTGTTCACCTCTGTTCAACACTGGTTCCATTCCTTTCGTAAATGAAATTGTAACTTCTGGCGCGAACTTATTGATATTCCGGTGGGGATGTGGGTTCAAGGGAGGGAGTTGGTATGGGCCAACTTAACAGTTGACCTGGCTGCTCTGGGAGCGCCAGGAACGTCTTGACATTCAGTGGTCAAGGATGTAGGGGTGTATGTGTGTGATGTGGGTGGCATTGGTGTGTGGAGCACAGTGTGGGTAATGTTGATATGTGTAGTACAGTGTGGATAATGTGGGCTGAGTGTTGTTGGCAGAAGCAAACCTTTTTTGGGGGGTGAGAGGAAGGGTCGTGCAGTCAGTTTTCTTTTCCCCTCCCTCACTCAAGTGTGGCTAATTGTGATAGGGAGATGAATTTGATACCATAATGATCCATAATAAATTCTCTACGAGACATTTCCAATAAAATATCCTTAAAAAAATATTTTGATATGATATAATGATGAGAATTCCATTCTTTTATAAAGAAACAGAACAAATGGTGTTACCGTAATCAATAACATCAGTTCTAATTTCGTTAGCCACCATTTTATATCAAAATAATCCTGACTACTTTACCAAAAAGTTTGGTTAAATAAATATATTAAAAAAAAAGATCTATATGATACAGGCATGAATAGAGCTCTGTGCGGCAAACAATCAGTGAGGCAATCTTTGAGGGGGGGAGAGCTGCGCAGTCACATTTACCCCCCAATGGACCCTTCCCCCTGCTCCCTCCATTCCTCACAGCATTTGTTATAAACTTCTATTTGTGTTAGAGAGATGAATTTGATAAGCACAATGTTCCTGAATAAGTTCTCTATGAGACATTTCCAATAGGATATCCTTAAATGACAAGTTGAATAATAAGTATTTTACTGTATATGAAGGGTACTGGTATTAAAAAGCTCAAATTTTTAGTTTCTATCTCCAAGTCTCTATGTACAGATCTAAACAAAGAATTTTTTTTAAATACTCTGTAATATTCGATACCATAATAACCTGACCACTGGGGCTAGATATACAGAACCTTTCCCTGTGAAAAAGCCATAATTTTGAGCAACATATTACTGTACTCATTTTGTACTCAAATGTTCTAAGCTAAAGGACTAAAATTTTTATCTCTTGTCCAAACACCCGGTTTCCTCCTGTACTAATACTGGATAGATCGCCCAAACTGCTAGTTAGCCGATAGGTGGCGAATATGATAAAAAAAAATTATTGCTGTCTTGCAAGGATTCCAGCATGGGATAAGGTTAATTGTGTTATAATAAATAGTAAAAGAGGAAAAAATATCACACAAAAACTTAACTGACTTACTCTGTTAGTTTTTGCATGGAATCTTGTAGCTGCCTGAATATCTTTGAAGGAAATATCTTCCACAGCTTTAAGCCAGATTCACACTCTTTGAAAGCATTCATGAAGTCTATAGCTGCCTTAATTATCAATGTTGGCTCTGAATCAGGAGACAGGTTGGGATCAAAGCATCCAACTCGTTGATTTAAGGCAACAAGGCATATACCTGGGAAAAAAAAGTTTAATCAATACAGTAATACCCATAGCTTGCAAGAATTTATCGTTCACGAATACAGTTATGCCATTCACGGACAATATAAATATGGTAATATCTTTTTTACCTTCCACATCACCTTTCACAGTCAGACTTCAAAGCAAGAAATAAAAACAAGGTAAAAAAACAAAAGGCGGTTTGATGTAATATACAATATAGCTACAAGGGAAACCTGTAAGCATAGAGTAAACATTACATGTGAGTATGGCAAGTAGGCATGTTGGGATTCACTTGCAAATATGGATTGCAATTTATTTTTCAACAATTTAAAACTGATTTCATTAGTGTACTTGGATTCCTTGAAAACTGCATAAATTTTTTGAAAAACAAAAAACAAAAACATAATTGAATAAAAAAATAATTTCTGGCTTGTAAATACTTTGGAGATGGCGGTACATTATATATGACTTGTTATCACTGCCACTACCTTCACATTATCCTCCCAACAAATGCTTGCATCATGCTTTGCAATTTAATTTTACTATGTGATGTAAATACTGTACAGTAATACCCCGATTTACACGGTTCCCGTTTATGCGTTTCCACATTTACGCGGTACCCCGCCAGAGCCAGAATGCTCACTTTATGCGGTGCATCTACTCATATACGCGGAGAGCAGCTGGCTGTCCTGCCACGCCGCCATTTTTGGATTCAAACCTCCCGCCATCTCGGGCACGCAGCGCGAGTAGGGTGCGCACTGGATGCCTCTGTTGCGTTATCGCTGACGTCATATAACGCATCCTTACCTCCCTCCGCCGCTAGCTGTGATTGGTTTAATATGACGTGCCTTCCCGCTGGCGGGTAGAAGGCGCTTCACCTAGCCGTGTCAGTTACATCCCTCCCGGCCACACTGTGTATACAGGTATTTATTGTTCCGTAAGAATGGCTGCCACCGGATCACCACCACCACCACCACAGAAAAACCTTGCATTACCTGGACCCAGCCGCCCTAAGCCAAAGAAGATACGACGTGCCCTAAGTTACGATGTGAAGTACAAGATTATTCAAGAGTTGGAGAAAGGAACAAGACAAGTTGATTTGGTGCGCCAGCATGGCGAGAACGTATCTACGATACGGACGATAAAGAAGGAAGCATCCAAGATAAAAGATCACATGAACATCACAAAGTCTGCAGGTGCTTCAATGATCAAGTATTGCCAGAACAAGGTGCTTCTAAAGACAGAAAATTTACTTGTGTGTTACTTGATTTGTCAGGCAAGACGGAACATGGCGGTCGACACGCGGTCAGTTCAGGAGTACGCACGTGAACTGTACGCAGCAGTGTCACGTAAGATGGGAATTACAGAGCCCAAACCCTTCAATGCTTCCTCTGGGTGGCTGCAAAGGTTTAAGAAGAGGAACAAGATCACCAACATTAACATTGGTGGTGAAGAAGCGAGTGCTAACAGTGTTGCGGCTAGGGATTTTCCTCCGTTCTTAAGTGAGATTATGGAGGAAGGACAGTACACCTACGACCAGGTGTTCAACATGGACGAATCCAGTCTGTTTTGGAAAAAGCTACCTTCCAAGACCTTCGTTGTCCAGTCTGCCAGCAAGTGTCAGGGCCGGAAGTTGCAGAAGGAGCGCATCACCGTCCTGTTTACCACTAATGCCTCCGGTACCTGTAAACTCAAGTTATCAGTGATCCACACAGCCCGCAAGCCGCACGCCTACAAGAACGTGGACATGACCAAGCTAAATGTCCACTGGCTGACTGCACGTAAGGCGTGGATGTTCTCTGCTCTGTTCCTGTCCTGGTTTGATGACTGTTTCGTTCCCGACGTGAAGAAATTCTGCGAGCAACAGAATGTTCCATTCAAGATTTTGTTGCTCATTGACAACGCACCAGGACACTCGCCCCTACTGTTGGATCGTCACCCCAACGTAAAAGTGGTCTTCCTTCCTCTCAACACTACGTCATTAATCCAGCCCATGGACCAAGAATTAATCTGCAATGTGAAAGCTGCATACTCTGCAAAGAAGTTTAAGCTCCTGAACGACTGTACCAACACCAAGGATGAGTTGCGTAACCTGGGTGACACCAATAACACGAGCGACGAGGACGAGGAACAACAGTTGGCGGATCAAGAAGTTCTCGGGAAACACTTTTGGAAGAAATTTAACGTCAAGAAAGCTATGGACTTCTTGGTGGAGGCATGGGATCAGCTGTCTGTAGCAACGGTTCGTCACGCATGGAGGCATGTGTTGCAAGGTATCCCAGGTGGGAGGCAGAGTCAACCTGTGACTGGTGAGGTTCAGTCTGTTGCAGTGGCAGTGGTCATTGCAAGAGAAGCTGCGCAGAGTGTTACAGCTGCAGGCTTCTCGGAGACCACCAATGAAGACATCCTGGAGGTGATCAGGGATCCTGAGGTGACTGCCGACGAGATGTTAGAAGACTATCACGTCAGTGAAGAGGCAGGTGGTGCGTCATCCCGAGAAGAACACAAGTTAACGCATGGTAATGTTAGGGGTGCCATCAAGTGTGCAGAGAAACTGAAGCTCCTCCTTTCCGACGACCCTAACGATAACCGGTATGAAGTCTTCACTACCCAGCTGTAGCGTGCTCAAGGCCATGACTACCCATGGTTCAACAAAATCGCTGGTTTAGCATCGATACGGCCCCAATGGTACTAGAAAATCGGTGGTCGACCTGTATTGAATTGAATTGAAACAGTTTATTTAGCCAGAAAAACACAGGTACAGAGTGGATAATAATAACAATATTAACATGGCTGACCCAGTTGAGAACCTGAGCGCTTTTTTAGGCACCTGATATATACTATACATTTATCTCAAGGAAGTATTATGTAACATTTAGTATCATCTGGAATAGTACAATAGTGTAATTTATGTATATGCTTATAATATAAATAAAAAAAATAAAAAAATATATATAAATAAAATAAATAAATACTGAAGTGATAACCATGGTAACATTATGAGATATTCTTATTACCACCATGACCTTGAGCACGCTACCACTTCCGTAGCCTCCGACCCAACAGTTATATACTACATACTAACTCTAAAGCACTCTGGGCTGCCAGAAAATCAATATGACATAACATAAGCAATTGGCCACTGTTTCTGCCAGTAAGAAATTTAAAAGATATCCCCACTCATTTTGAAAACAATTACGGGCTATTGGAAATTTCTGTGGAGTTACAGAAAATTTTTTGATTCGGCAAGCTTGCCAACACATGCCTGTACTCTACATCAAATTTATATTTTCTACCTCATATCAATCATAATATGCACGCATGTATGCACAATGATGTCAGGATCAGCTGAGTGGCTTTTCCACAAAGCGCACTACAGTGAATTCTGCTATAACGCGTGTTTTGATAACGCGAATTTGCTCTAACACGATTTATGAATAGAGAAACGATATTTGTATAACGCGAACGCTTGTTTGCTGTAACGCGATTTTTGCTTACTATTTCTACAATTTTGTGGTATCAACTGTGAATATGGTAAAGAAGAATATCTCCAAGAAGCGTTCTGGTGATCGAATTCCCGGTGATGATCGTAAAAGAAAGGATATAACACTTGAAGAGAAGCTCGATGTTATCAACCTCAAAATCACCCTTCTCCCCCATCAAGTTATATTCATATTTTTTCAAGGTAACGTGTTACATTTACTGTATGATTTCATTATTAGATATGAATGCAACATTTATTTAGACTGTGCTATCCTTTGTGTTAGGCTAACTACTAATTTTTTTTCGATTTCGAGTAGTAATCTGCACCTAACCCTATTTTCTCCATAAGCCGTTATTTCTATTACGCGATTTTCTATAACACGATATTTTACAAGAACACAACTATCGCGTTATAGCAGAACTGAATGTACCCTAGGGTGACAATAAAAAGTGAAAGTTTTTATTTTTAGATGGCCATTTGTCCAATACTGCGTACCCATGAAAAAAGAACACAGGCGAAATCCTGGGTCATTTGGACAATATTTAGAGGTGGCTCAAGCCATTTGAAGTTAACACTACTGAAATTATTATTGATTTTTTCTAATTTCTTTATTTATGAACCGATTACTATGAAACTTTGCAGGTATATGTAGAATGCAAATTCAAACTAAAGTTGTTCCTAACATTTTTTCTAAAAATGAGTAATGAGTATTTTGGCTGGTGCAGCTATTGGCAATGCAGAGGGGAGGGAGAGGCGGGTGTCAGTCGGGGTAGGGGGAAGAGGTTGTGTGCCAGTGTCTGACTGGTACAGTAGCATCAGTTGTGTGTGAGACGTGACGGTGGGTGTGTGTGCGTCGCTCTTGTTGCGTGCTACTCTCAAAGTTATCACCCCTGAATTGTCAAGTACATTGGACCGCACTGGGATCAGTCACCGCTCTGCTCTCCGGATCGTCAGTGCCACGGCTGCTAGTCTAGGTCATGACCCAACGGAACTAGTTTTAAACTATGAGACAGTGCGTACTTCGCGAGCGACCCACCGTTCTGGGATTGCCAACGAAATTAAAGAAAAATTTCAACCTAGTGAAGTGCTCACTGTGCACTGGGATGGAAAAATTATTCCTGATGAACAAGGAGCGAGTGTTGACCGAATCGCCATTCTTGTCTCCGGAATCAATACTGAAAAGCTGCTTGGTGTCCCGAAACTATTGTCAGGGACTGGACAGGCCATTGCTACAGCAGTCAGTGCAGCGCTGGAAGAGTGGAAAATATCAGAGAATGTTTCAGCACTCAGTTTTGACACAACAGCTTCAAACACTGGGCACTTGTCGGGGGCATGTGTCATTCTGGAGCAGAAACTCGGCCGCCGTCTTCTGCATCTCGCGTGTCGTCACCACATCCTTGAGCTTGTTGCCGAGAAAGCGTATGTGGAATGCATGGGGCCTTCCTCTGGACCAGATAATACTCTCTTCTCTCGCTTCAAGCATAAGTGGAAGGACATCAGTCAAGATGACTACAGCCCTCTCTCAGACC